CAGACAATGGAAAATCATCATTGCACCTTTGATATCACATGTATTGTGCCTATAGACATTTTAAGATAGAATGAAATTAATTTGGATGTCATAAGACTGTAAAGCAGCAAGAAATAAACAGAGGTAGATAATTGTCAATAAAAGAAGTTGTAACTGGAGTATAAAATTTTACCTCAGAGTCCATTCAAATATGATAAATCAAAGGAAATCAAATTTCAATTAATTTGAAGCTAGATTACTAGAATTGTCAACCGAAATTCCTGGATATTTAATCAAAAAAGCATTAGCAATAATTAATAGTCTGTAGTGTTAAGTCATATGATAATAACATGCATTGATTTCTAATAACAAAACAGTGGAATGTTAATAAACAAAGGTTCCTCAACCCTATAATTTTTAAAAATAAATGAACATATCTCTATATATTAATATATATGAATTATATTAGCACATTTATGGTTTGTGTCACTTATTTCCTCAAAAAAACCTAGTCTTTTTAAATGTCATTCATTTAGTTGGCAGAATGATAGCAATTCTGAAAGAAATACACAATTCTTGAAATTTTATTTGTGTCAACATGCACATTTCAGCTAGAATTACTCTTTTTGATAAGGTTCTTTCTGAAAGTAATTTTTAGTCTTTTACTTAGTACACATACACATAATTCTTTGTCACTATCATACACAGCCTCATCTCTTCAGTAATCATTTTGAATATAGTCAGATGCTGTGGTGAATAAGCTGTCTCTCTAAGGCTTTTTTTTTTTTTAAGTTAAAAATAGCCTAGCCATTATTTACTTCTTGGCACTTTTTTTTTTACTATTTTAGAAATGCTCTGTAGATATGTTTTCGCTTTCAATTTTCACATCTTAAATTCTATCAAATATAATAGGAGCTGAGAGGCCTAAGTGGACATGTTTTGGCACAATATTTTTCAAACCTCCACTTCTGAGTATCTTTAACATTTTGACACTGGATTTTAAACATTTGTTATGATATGTTAAAGACTTAATGAAAACATGCATAAACCTATTTTTGATATAACTGTCTTCTCTTGATGTTATATATTATATTTTTGTTCAAGGGAGTGATATAAACATCATCAAGGTCCTAGATTCTAATGGGATATCTATATTTAGACTTATGATAAGTTATAAGATAATGTTTTGAAGTTGTTTAAATATTTCTATGAAAAAAAAGTATCCTAAAATAAATTCAAAAATTATTCAACACCCATAAAAAGCTTGCCTTTTGTCTTTATAGTTCTGGGTTTTAATTTAGTAGAACAAACAGGAATCCTTAATTTGATAAACTTCTAGATGGCAATAGCTTGTTAGACTAAAAATGATCTCCATTGAAGGAAAATTAATGAAGCTAAAAGAAACAGAAGAACAGAATCAGGCATACAGATAGAAAGAGAGTGAGAGAGATAGAGAGGAAGAGAGAGACAGAGATAGAAAAAGACAAAGAGAGAGACATACACTGAGAAAGAGATCATGAATTATAACTCCCAAGTATAGCTCACATCAAAAGGAGCCCAGTGCTAGGGCAGTAATTAACATTCCAATATGCTGGGAGACTTTCCCTGGTTCCCTAATTGGCCACACCTGTCAGTAGACAGCAATGGCAGGTGACACTGACCTGGGTCATGTATGAGCTGAGAATGATAAAGGACAGGAACAAAGTCCTCCCTCGCTGGCTTGGCGAACACCTCCCCCCAACATCACCATGGTTTTGCATCTGTTTACAGAGGAGTATGTTAGCGGGAAAGAAAGAAGTCTGAAGTTAGGGCCAAACATGAGTCAGAGGTGTGGCCCCAGGAATGGTTCCTCTGCTCAGATGTCAGCTCAACATTTGCTCAGGGCAGGTGGTCTAAAAGATTTGGCTTACCGGGTATTTTTCCAGTCCTTGATGGAACTGGAGAAGTTGCCAAAAATATGACAAGAGTCTGAACAGCTGATCAACTGCTCTCTGCATGGCGAGAACTAGACCATTCCCCATCACAGAGCCTACTCTCCATCCCTCCCCTGTGAACATTTAGCTGTCTTGCTGATCTCTGTGAAGTACATGGGCTTCAATGAGATAATATGAACAACAGTGTGTTAAGGACTCTCGAGAACAGCAGAAGCATGGAGTGTAGTGTTAAAAAGCTATTACTAGTCATCTTGAAGGCATTTATCCAGAAGACTGAAGAAGCCAAGAAGCATAGGTCCACCAGAAAGTGAATTAAACCATTTGAAATGCTGACCATTTTCTATTCCCAGATTTGATAGGTTTTTCTGTACCATAAAGATTTGGTTTGTACTGTAGATCTTAAACAGGAGAAGTATCTGTAGTATACTTAGCAACAATGCCTTGAACACATTCTTCAAGATTCAGATAGTGCATGTCCACCAGCCTGGTCACTATGAAGAAAGGAGTTAGCAACGTGTGGAAACTCTGTGTGTCCTCACTGGTATGGAACATGGTGACAGCAGTGAAAGCCTTTGGGTCAGCTGTGACACTCCCTCCCTCAGCTCATCTGTCATCTGCCCATTTGACATTTATTGAGCATCTGTTATACCAGACACATCCTTGGCTCTAAATACAAGTCCTACCACATCCTCCTAGAATTCTGATGCCAGTTGCAGGCAGGTAGGAAATAAGTAAATACCATATTTACAATGGTACAATATAAATGTGTGCATTTAAAGTGTCTGTCATGACATTTGTTATGACAAGACAATTAGAATGTATAAACATAAAAATATCTTAGTTGTATTAATAAAAATTCAGCATGAGACCATACATTATTTAAAAATTCTGATCTTTCATTTTCTCATTTATAAATAGGGAACAAATTTGGCTATTTTCCTCAAAAGTTTGTTGGGAGGAATGGAGGTGGTAGTTATCATAAAGCATTTAGCAGATAGGTAGGTACAAAGAAAATGCTTGGTGTCAACATTATAAATTACTGTTATTAATTATTTTGTTTCTTATCATAGTGCAGACAGAAAAGCAGAGCAAAACCCTGTGACTAAATGATGATATAACTTTCTTCTCTGGAATTTTGTGAATGATTCAAAAGAGAATATCAACTGTTGAGTATCAGAGTTGCATTAATGGATGTATATTTTATTTCTTCATGTACCCAACACACAGAGAGAGAGAGAGACAGAGAGAGAGAGAGAGAGACAGATACAGAGACAGAGACAGAGGAGGGAAGAAGAAGAAAAGAAGAAGAAGAAGAAGAAGAAGGCAACTGAAAAACAGCTGGGCAGGCAGCCGGGCGTTGGTGGCGCACGCCTTTAATCCCAGAACTCGGGAGGCAGAGGCAGGTGGATCTCTGTGAGTTCGAGACCAGCCTGGTCTACAAGAGCTAGTTCCAGGACAGCCTCCAAAGCCACAGGGAAACCCTGTCTCGCAAAACTGAAACCTCAGCACATCTTTTTCTTCATCAGACAGTGATACCCCCCCCCCACATACACACAGGTGTTCCTCCCTCCTCAGGCTAGTATAGTAGAATCCAGACTCCTTTCTGAATTCACCTAGGTATCATTCATCCTTAGTGGGGACTGTTTTGCTTTATCAAAAATTGCAAGTAAACATTTCTGGAGGTTTGAAAGAAAATGGACTCCAAAGGGAGTGGCACTATTAGGAGATGTGGCCTTGTTGGTGTAGATGTGTTCTTGTTGAAGAAAGTGTGTCACTGTGAAGGTGAACTTTGAAGTCCCATATATGCTCAAGCCATGCCCAGTGAGACAGACCACTTCCTGTTGCCTGTGAGTCAAGATGTAAGAACTTTCAGCTCCTTTCCTAGCACCATGTCCCACCATGATGATAATGGACTAAACCTTTGACCTTTAGGGCATAATTAAATGTTTTCTTTTATAAGAGTTACTGTGGTCATGGTATCTCTTCAGAGCAATAGAAACCCTAAGACAACATTCTTCAACAAATTTGTTTATTCATGAAGAAAACTTTGTAGAAAGCAACATGCCCTCTACATGCTGTCATACCCAGTTTCTCTAGAAAGGTCCAATCCTACCACTATTAACAATTTCTCCAGGCACTTGACTATACTACATAGAGACACCACAAGAAACTTTGGAATCCTTCTGAAAATGGTCTTCGATGCACCAGGTTGCGAATTTGAAACTATCAAGGTTTAGGAGGGCTCAAAAGGTAAAGGTGACCTTTACCTATTTGTGCTTTTTATGTTCTTAGTTCTAGCTCTAGTCACACAACTACTGCACCAGCCCTGCCTACAAGTATAGCTCTAGACTCTCATCCAAGCAGCTTCATTTGCAAGAGATGAACCTTATTCTAGGAGGTCCACGACTGGTCAAAATGTAGAAAATAGGCACCCACAGAGGACCCAGCACCAACAGTGCTTATACAACCCAACCTCTACACCCACAGTGCAGAGAAAAATCTCTACAGAGGGGGCCAAAAAGTTTGTTAGAGTCCCAGAACCAGGATGTCTGCTGCCAGATAGCTACTGACTAAATATATGATCATATTTTAACAAATAAATTAAATAAGCAATCACAAGATTTTTCTGTGTAGCCTTTAAACTTCTTGCAGTAATGGAGGCTACTCTTTCATCCTGAGACTCCTTGGCAATCTCTAAGATTCTGCTTGATATCAGTGCTGGGTACCAACCCAGGGGCCTTCTATAAGTAAGGCAAATACACTATCAGGAAGCTAAGTCCACAGTAGCCTCTATGTTTTTATTTCAATGCCAGCAACCCATTTTCAGGGATCCTCAACCCAATAGGTGTGTGTGTGTGTGTGTGTGTGTGTGTGTGTGTGTATGTGTGTGTGTATGTGCATGTGAGATTTCACCCCTTCTCTTTGTGTGTGTGTTGTTGATGGGGGAGGTCCTTCTGTGTGTATGTTTATCTTATTGGTTGTTCAATAAAACACTGTTCAGCCAATGAGGCAGAAAGATAGGTGGGACTAGGAGTTGAGGAGGATTCTGGGAAATGTAGTAAAGGAGTCTTGTGATCCAGCCAGGAACTGACATAGCAGGCAGACTCAGAATATAAACAGGAAATCACTCTCTTGCTCTTGCTCTTCCTCCTGCTCTCTGCTCTGAAGCCGCCATGTGATCCCAGGAAGATGACGCCAGCGGAAGGAGTCCTCTGTAAGTCTTATAAAATATATAGATTTATGATAATTAAGACTGAGCTAGCATATAAGATAACCTAGTCAATTGGCCAGCAGCATTGTAAACTAATATAAGTCTCTGTGTATTATTTGAGACCCTAACACAGCATGTGGAACTTGGGAGGAACTCAGGCAGCTTGGCAGAAAGCGCCCACATGGCAGCAGGTCTCAGGTGGCTGGCAGAAAGATTTATCATTACATGTTCCCACACTGGTGTTATCAGGGCATGCCTATATGTGTAGAAGTCAGAGGACAGACAAACTTGGGTGTTGGTCCTTGCCTTCTCCTATGTTGTCTGTTTCATACACCAGGCTAGCTCATTTCCTAACTTTGGGGCATTCTCCTGTTTCTTCCTTCTACCAACTCCCAGAAGCTCTGGAGATACTCATGTCGAGCATTAAGCATATTTGGGTACTTGAACTTACCGAGGATTTGAACTTAGGTCTTCATACTTGTATGGCCATAACTTTTACCCACTGAGCTATTTCCCAAGCCATTTAATTTTTAAGTTTCCTAAAGCCTCTTTATTCATAATGTCGATGACTCCTAAGGAAGTTTCTTACTCTACTTTTTAAAAAAATTCAGAAAGGAATTGACATTGCTATCTGCATCCCTTATCTTCTATTGAGGAAGGACAGTCCCAGATTAGCACTTGAAGTGAAGATGTTCTCAAGGGCAGTTTGGTAAATGCATTGGCCATGGTATTTACCTTTTACAGATGAAGCAAGGAAGACTCCTTTTATGGACAGCTTGTGCTATGTTTCTGACACATTTATTTTCAATTGATTGCATATTAGATATTAGGTGTTCAATCCACATTTTCTGCTAAAATGTGTAATGTCTGAGCAGACCTCAGAGAAGTGTGTTATAATTGTTTAACCTGTATTTTGTTCCCTTTCTCCTTGATAAATGTCAGAATGTAAATTGGCAACATTTAAGAACCCTGTAAAGCTATTTTCCCAGTTGCTCAGTACTGGTTTTGTTTATGCTGGTTTTAAAGCAATGTCAGACATTAACGAAATGTTCTCTGCTGTAAGATGTACAAACATGGCAAAGAGAAGATTGTTTTATACTTTGTGAATTTCAATCTGTGTCACAGTGAATGCAACCAGAAAAACAGGAACGTATCTCTAAATGGAGCCTTAATTTTTTTTTTTTTGCAAAACAGATTTTTTTCATATTTCTCATTCAGTTAATAACAATTATTGAGGGCTCAACAAATACACAACAAAATTGCCTCTGATGTTCACAGGACATTATTTCATGAATAAAATAATAGACCAGGAAGGCTGTATTCTAGCTCATCCTTTCCACTTGTGAGTGGGAAGCATTTGGCAAGAGAAGCAAAGCAGACTTTCAGTTTTCCCAACTGGAAAATGACAGAATAATAACTATGTTAGATGCTAGCTCTAGGGATTGAAAGAGAGAAGTTATAGAAACTGGTTTATAAATGCTACAGCGTAAGCAATCATAGGACAACACCACAACACTCATAAGCAATGCAGCACATATGAATTCCTACTGGAGTTTGTACTTAATTTTTATCATTTTATACTTTGATCTGGTGCAATTACATGGTAAGATTTACTTCTTTTTAAAAAGAAAAGTCAGTTATTATAATGAAGTCACAAGTAAAAAGCATTTAGATTCAGGAAGTCACTCCCATACTTGCCCAATACCAAACTCTAAACATCTCAGTGAGCTTCAGTACAGATGGAATGGCCATTTTACCCCCTTATGTTCTCCTTACCACTGAAGTCATAGAGCTTTGCTTAGGGTTTTACATGTTTACTATCAACCATGTTTTTATGTGTTTACCATAAAGTGAACAGACAGTTTACTAAAGAAGAAGCACAAATAGCTAATGGCTATTATTTTTTAAATCCATACCCTTTGTCATCAATACTACTTTGAAATACCAGGTCACCTCAGTCAGAATGGAAGTCATCAGAGACCAGAGACTAAATATTGGAGAGGTTATAGGGAACAAAGACACATTGGCTTGTTTCTTAAGAATATTCTGGGTCATTTGTGACCCACATAGATTTTCATTACAGAATTAATTGATGCAACTTCTTGAAGATACTTTGAGTTTTAATTTTTATTATATATTTCAGATGGATTTTGTTGGAGTAGACTTGTAAAATTCGGTTACATAAACATGTAAATATTTATTCTAACTCATTTTGGGTCCACAGTCTAAGGACTGCCAAATTTCCTCTCTTGTATTTATAACCATTTCAGGTCTTAATTTGTTTAAACTAAAGACTCCAGTGTCTCAGAACCATGGTTTTTTATTTGCCATGCATACTATATATGCATTAGTTTTCAAAAGGTGAAATTTATGTGTATATAAACACATATAACTCTGTATGAGACATTTGCAATTTCTAAAATCAAGTGGACAATTCTGCCCTGCAATGTTTCAGGAACTGAAAATGAAAGTTTCACTAAAGAACTTCTTCATATTTTAAAATAACCTTAATTTCTTTGTGTGTGAATCCTTTATAATTAAGTCATTTCTGGTATAAGGAAAAAGTGTGAAATGGAAATATATAATTCTGTCACCACAGTTAGCAGACATGCTATCATTACAAGTTTTTACATTCCTGAAGAAAGTAATAAATATCCCTACCAAGGACTGGCCTTGTCGCCTGTCCAACTTTAGCTGGAAAACAGAAGCATACAGAAGGCCTAGTGTTGAGGCCTTGTGGTGTGGCCCTTGATGTTTATCCTTGGCTTCTAGAAATGGATTCACGGACATAAGGCTTCTCTTATATCCACAATTCTTATTATTTTAAGTCGAAGGGGATGCTGTTTGCAGTGCTGTGATTTCCAAGTTGACTTTGGGTTTGGAAGATAATTTAATTTTCATTGGATAATTTTTTATTATCTATTTAATTGCCAGTAAGGGGCATAATTAAACTTATGATCATCCATATTGGTTCCTTTTTTTCCCTCTGTCTCTCCATGCAGCTTAGTGGAAGGTCATTATTTAGTTACTTATTCTTAACTTCGGTAAGCTTCTCATATTTTTTGAGATTATAATATACCACATCACAATATACAACACTCCTATATACCACTCCCCACAATCCTTCAAATTAATGGTCTCTTTTTTCACCAATTGTTATTGCATAAATATATGCATATACAGATATACATACATGTATTTTCCTAAACATAAGCTTTTTAGTCTGTATAATGTTACTGGTATGTATGTTTTCAGGGATGGTCATCTGTCATTAGACAATCAACTGTTGTGCTCATCCCTGAGGTGAGCCCCACCTCCACTGCTCCCAGCTTTCCTCAGTTGCCTGTAGAAATTTGTGTAGGGTTACTGCCTCATGGGCTTGCTTATGTCCTATTGATTCTTGCCCCCCTATGGTGTCTTAGCGTTGAATCATCAAACACAATTCACATACTTGTAGCCCAGAGTTGAGTGTTACATTTTTACCATTCTTTCTTTTTCATGTATAATTAATTAATTTAGTTATTTAGTTTGTAACCCACCTAAGTTTCCCCTTCCTCCTGTTCTCCCAGTCCCTCCCACCCCCTCTGTTTGCATTCTCCAATCAACTCCTCTTACAGTCTGTTCAGGAAAGGACAGGTCTCCAATGAATCTCAACAAAACATAGCATATCAAGTTGCAGTAAGACCAAGCACCTCCCCTTGTATTAAGGCTGGGCAAGGTGACACAGTACAAGGTATGAAGTCCCAAAAGCTAGTAAGAGAGTCAGAGGACATTCCCATTAGTCCTTAAAGCCTTGCTTTGTTAAAGCACTGCATAGTGCTCTGATAGATGAACTTCCCAGGGTAGATTAAGGAACGTTGTTTCTCAGCAAAGAAAAGTTGGTGAGAAGCAGATTAGAGTGAAGTATATGTTGAATATACAATCAATAGACCTCTTTGGGTTCAGAATGTGGGTGACTTGGCTGGCTGTCTTTTCCCCATCAGAGCCCAGCTTTGTTCTCTGTATTTGCTTTTTATTCCCTCAGAAGAAATGAGTTAAAATCTTTGAAACTCTTATAATCACATGATAAACAAATCTAAATTAGCAGTGTATCTGAAACCTATGAATCATAAGGTTAAAAAAATAGTTGCCAAGCGGAACACTTGTAGGACTGTGTGTTTCCCACCATCTCCTAATGAATTCACTTGATCATGCCTGTGAGTGATTTGCAGAGAGAGAAAATATTTGTGCTTGAACTTCGGCTAGTTTTCTTCATGGCTTTGTTTTTATACTCATAAAAGACTACACTTAATTCATTCAATTCAGATGATTTCAGACATTGTATCTGTAAGCAATATTAATTTTATTTGAATTGCAAACGACCACATAATCTCATTTTTTTAACTTCAAGACTGGGGACCTTTGGGTCCCAAAATCCAAACAGATATCCAACATGAAAAATATTTACTGTCTTAATCTAAGATTTTTAGTCGCTGAACTTTTTTGATAGTAACATTTTTTCTTGTAATAATTAAAACTCATTTTCTGTAAGGCTCATTTAGAGAGCATTTGTGTATATGGTCAGTTGTGAAAGCCCCTGAATTCCTATACTGTAAAATCTAGAGGAGGCAGAAGAGTGTTTTAAGATAAATATCTGGGCTTCCATACATAGCAAGATGGAGCCAAATAGAATAGATTTACTTACCAGTCTTTTTCTTTACAAAATTTATTTACTCTTATTTTATGTGTATGAGCATTTTGTGTGTACTGTGTATGCAGTGCCCAAGGAGATGGGAAGATGGTGTCAGATCTCATGGAAGTGGAATTACAAATGGCCGTGAATGGCACATGTTTGTTAAGAATGAAACCTAGGTCCTCTGCAAATGCTTTTAACCACTAAGCCATCTCAACAGTCTTAAATATAAATATGAACCTGTTTAAAAAACAAGCAAATAAGTGGTGAAATTCAATCATACCCAAGAAAGAGGACATAAGCCTTGCTATGTAATTGCTTTTGCTTATCCTTTGAGAGTTTCTATGCCATCAGAAGAAGTGAAGAGAAGGAAATGACTAGTGGACGTGGCATTGAAGATGGGAAGGGACATGCACATAAGGCTTTTTTTTTCAGTTTTAGAAGTCTATTTAAAAGATAACAATGTAAGCAAAAATAAGAATACACTGATTTATAACATGTGTAAAAGGAAGCTGTGCAAAAAACATAAAAAACTCAGAGACTAAATGAACACTGCTCAGCTGTATGTAAAGGATGCACTGTTATTATAAGATAGATTGCTACAGGGAGCCAGTATGGGTTTAAAGAGAATTATGGCCCTAGGGAAATATCCAGAGATCTACAAGTTTGATCCCAACTAACATTCTAAGCAATAGTTTAGAGGCTAGCCTAAATGCCCTTCTCCAATAATGAGACTGATGACTACTTTATTTGCCATCCTAGAGCCTTCATCCAGTAGCTGATAGAAGCAGAAGCAGACACCCACAGCTAAACACTGAGCTCTGGAATCCAGTTGCAGAGAGGGAGGAGTGATAAGCAAAGAGGTGAAGACCAGGCTGGAGAAACCCACAGAAACAGCTGACCCAAACAAGGGGGAGATCATGGACCCCAGACTGATAGCTGGAAAGCCAGCATAGGACTGTTCCAGACCCCCTGAATGAGGAGGTCAGTTTAGAGGTCTGGGCAATCTATGGGGCCTCTGGTAGTGGATCAGTATTTATCCCTAGTACATGAATGGATGTTGGGAGCCCGTTCCACATACTTTCTCAGCCTAGACACATAGGGGAGGGTCTAGGCCCTGATCCAAATGATGTGAGGGACTTTGATGATCCCCATGGAAGGCCTCACCCTCCCTGGGGAACAGGAATAGGGATAGGGGGTGGGGGCAGGGGAGTAGGGGAGGAAGAGGGAACTGGAATTGACATGTTAAAGAAGCTTCTTTCTAATTTAAAATTGGTCTAATTAGAATTATAAAGTAATATATATATATATATATATATATATATATATATATATATATATACGCTCCAAAGCTACACAGAGAAACCCGTCTCAAAAAAACCAAAAAAAAAAAAAAATGAGTATGAGTACTACACACATATGTACACACATACCATACACATACATATGCACACACAATATACATATGTATATACATACACATGAACACACTATGCTCATACATGATCACACACATATACATACATATACATACACATGAACACACTATGCTCATACATGATCACACACATATACATGGCATGTGTCAAATAAAGTCACACAATAATCCTAAGGAACAGAGAACAAAAGAAAAGGGAACAAAACTTATATGGAGTAAAGGGGTAAAAGGATCAATATTATAGATTTAAACCTAATCATGAGGACATCTCATTACTTGTTAATGGCTTAAACATTTTAGCTAAATGATAGATTTATCCATGTGTCAGAGTAAAACAAATAAACAAGAGTTTATCTAGAAGAAAGAGGTAATAAATTAATGCTACAAGTATTTTAAAATTAAAGGGAAGCTAGAAAGATGTCTTATTTAGGGTTTCTATGACTATGTAGTGACACCATGACCACAGAAACTCTTGTGAAGGAAAACATTTAATTGAGGTGGTAACTTACAGCTTCAGAGGTTCAGCCCATCAACACCGTGATGGGAAACATGGCAGCATTAGGCAGACTTGCTGATGGATGGAGGAGTAGCTGAGAGTTTTACATCTTGCAGGCAACAGGAAGTCATTGAGACAGTGGATGGTATCTTGAGCATAGAAAACCTCAAAGTCCATCCCCCACAGTGACACACTCCCTCCAGCAAGGAGTAACCTACCCCAACAAAGACAAACCTTTTAATAGTACCATTCCCTGTGAGATTATGGAGGCCAAGTACATTCAAACTACCACATTCCTCTTAGGCCCCCATAAACTTATAACAATATCATAATGCAAAATGTATTTAGTCCAACTTCAAAAGTGCCCATAGTCTATCACAGTCTCAACTATATTTTAAAATCTAAAGTTCAAAGTCTCTTCTGATACTTGTGTAACACACATCTTTCTTTTAAGGGCTTGCCATTGCTTTTTGAGTCTGCGTTTCACAGAATGAAGATTCCAGATCTGCCCTTTGCTTCTGTCAATGGTGCACTTGTTGTGATTCCCAGCACTTTGGATGCTTATAGCAACATTGATTCACTTCAGTAACTTGAATGTGTCATGCTCCTTTGTGTCTATGACCTGTGTACAAGCTCTTTCTTGTGTCTGAAACATCCTGCCCCCTCTGGCCATCCCCTACTCAAATTTAAGTTCTTCCATGAAACCCCATTCCTTCTGGGAATTACACCATATCACTCTTTAATGACCTTGAATAAAATCCATAAACACACACACACACACACACACACACACACACACACACACCAGCAACAACAAAAATAACAAAACAATATCACTACACCCATCCTTCTAGGTAGAAAGCAGGTACCCATTCAGTCTATCATTCTTGGTGGAATTATATGGTCCTCACATACAGAATTACAGAAAGTATACCTTGACTAATGATTAAGAGATCATAGTCTAGAGTGGGGAGCATCCTGTTGTTGTTTTTCTGAATGTCCATGCTGTCTAACTGCCTTCAAATATTTAAGCTGTGCTCACAGATTGGTGCTATTTTCAACCTTGGTTAGAGAAACTTATTACAGCATGCAGCGGTTAATACAATGAGTCATCACTGCTCAGGAAGCCCAGAATAAATGATTATTGAGTGCTCAATCCTAAGAAGAACTTCTAAACCACCCCTTTCCCCAAGGCTTAGAGAATATTGCCAAAGAAATGGCAAAGGGGATTTTAATAGTTACCAGAGGATAAGGGAAAATGCTATAAAACATTGTCTTCTTGACAGGACATGGCTGCTGCACTCGTGAAATTACAGCAGCTGTGGTTATCTACACAAGGCCTGCATAAGATCGAGCCAGTCAACATTCCAACGGTGGATGGAAGAGAGGATCATAGGCCTCACCTCTAGCTGAGGAACTATTGAGGGCAGATAATGGCTGAAGGAAGGTAATTTACTTTTCTTTAATGACACAGACATTGGTCAGTTGCCCACACTCTAGTAACACCCTGCCCATGCCCATGAAAGCATCCCTAATTAAAATCTGGAGGGGCATAAAGTTTAAGAAGACTTGAAGATATGAAGGGAATTGGATGGGAAGAAAAAATAGTGGCCCAGTAGTGTTAGGGGAATAAGAAAAGGGAATGGGCAATGAATATGATCAAAATGCAATAGATATGGATGAATTTGTCAACTCCAAAGGATAAAGGAAGTAATAAAATGTACATTGAAAGTATAATTACAGATATGATATTGGTTCTTTTAATTTTCAAGAGAAGAATTTAACTCTTTCCTCTCAGTATGAATTATGGGAAAAAGTGAATGACTTAGAGTTGCGATTGGGATGCTTGGGTACTGTGTTAGCAGTCTATGTGATCTGTTGTGAGTTTTTCAACAATTTACCCCCACTTCAGTTTTTCTTTATTAAAAATGGGACCAATAAGAATATTTTCCTTATTTCTTTTACACATTAGGGAAGAGTTAAGGGATGCATAAGGAAGTGTCTTATTTTTGATTATAAAAAGAAACAAATAATTAGGACAAGACTGCTTCTAGGTATGGTGGAGGAGATGGTTTATTGTAGATATGGAGGGAGGACATAGCCAGAAGCAGATCCATCTGGGAGAGTTTAGTGTGACCATGACCCTGAGCTGGGCCATGTGAGAAGTGGGGAGGGGAGAGCCAGGAGACTAGGAGACCAAGAGACCAGTAAGGGAAATGGTCAAAGGTACCTGTGTAGTCAAAATGGCTGGATTATATAGGAAAGAGGTACAGGGAAAGGGCAGCCCAACGTCTGGGCTGGAGATTTCAGGGTAGAGGGCAGGGTATATCAGTCAAACCCTGTGACAAGTAGGGATGCTAGGAGAACCTGATGCCAGGTGTACTACATTAAATAGGCACATCATTCAGCCATTGTCCTGGGTTTGAGACATAACAATGTTTAGGTGAGAAAGAGCTACACAGAGATCACTTCTTTTGCTGATCATAATTTCAATGGAAATTTCTCCAGCCACGTTGGCTGGCAGTGGTGTTGACGTTGGTGTTGATGCTGGTTTGGTTGGTTGACACATCTAGAGCTTTATCAACATCTCTCAGCAGGCAACACTAAACAATGGAGAAGCTAAGTTAAAAAAAAATCTCACTTTGGATACACAGACACTTTGTGTTGTATTCTCAGACCCTAATCCCACCCCTCCTCTCAGGACAATCTGGAGACAGTGACATCTCAGTGTTTATGATTCTTATAACTATGAAAACATAACAATCAAAACCCATTGCAAGCACACTTATTTGGGAATTAAACTACCAGACCTTCTGCCTCACTCTCCATTGGATACCACTGGGCTTTTGTATCATGAAAACAGCACTCAAAATTTGGCAGAGAATAAGCCCCAATATACGTGGAATAAAAATCATTTTAAATAGAGTTTTAAAAGACATTATTTATTTTAAAAATCCATTTAGAAAATAGTGACGTTTGACTAATTAAAACCCAAGCTTCTCAGAAAAATGAAGCTTCGACATTGTCTCTCTACTGATTGTCAAGCACTCTCTTTAAGTAAGGTGTGCTGGGCTCATTGATTTGCATGCAGTCTTCTGGTTTCTGTCACCAGAGAGTCTGTCTTACAATCAGGATGTGCATGTGGTCTGACAGGACCCATCTGCTGTGGGGATAGCTAAGTGCCCCATGCCTCGCTGGTAAAACTCAGTTAAATCTTTGTTGTTTTTTATGTCATAGAATTTAAATTATTTATAGCAGTTATGGCTCATTGATTATCAGAGAGAATTTTTTTATGACACAAGGATTTACTGTCACCATTTTCCAGATTATGAATAAATGCAAAACAAGATGACAATTACTTCTTATTAACATGAACTTTCTGATTTTGTGATCCTAATTAGTTGGACTGTGGTCCCTTCATTAGTTATTTATGTATTCACCTTCATTCCCCACTTCATTTTAGAAAGGGTTTGTGATGTTGCCATTTCGTTAAGAAAAGTGCAAGAGCAACGATATGAGCAATGTCAAGTCTTCAGAAATTGGTGACCTTGGAACAATAGCCGTGGAACATCACAGGACTAAAGGAAACCATGTCAAACTACTGGTCTATAATAAAGGAACTGGGTCAGAAGTCAGATCATGGGTGTCACCTGCCTTGCAAAGGCTGGTCCATGTGCCAACTCTTTTTGTGCCATTCATGGATATTCACACTATCTGCATCACTCTACTTAATATATATTCATATGGAGCCTACTGTGTGATAGTCATTCTTCTAAATACTGGGGGCGGGGGGCACAAAATCAGAGATGGTGACTTTCTGAATAATTTACATACTAATGGGATGATTCAAGCAGTTAGAATGCCAAATTATTTTCCAGGGACTCTGAAGGGGAATGTAAATTGAGAGAGCTGCAGCCCTGAACAAAAGACATCAGCAGAGAAGGGGTGGGGAAAATACTACCTCAAGTTGCTCTGTCTGTGTTTATTGTTAAATATTTTTCAAATTAGAAAGTGAGGTTATGATAGCATATTAATATGAGACTCACATTTTAAAATTGCATTTTTAAATATATTTCCTAGAAGTCTACTCTATGTTAGATGGCAGAGAAATGGAAAATAGAAAGAAAAATTGGTTGTTGTACATTTAAAAATTCAAATAGAGAAAATATTCAGAGCTGATTTCATGATAGAGAAAATGGAGATTATTTTGTCTGCCACTCCCCACTCAAAATGAGTCACCAGGCAACTCACAAAGTTGGCCAGAACTTTGCTGTCTCAAACCACTCTGTCCAAAGAAGATTCACTGAGGGGGCAAGTTGGCAATTTCATGAATTTTAGTATGATATTTCCCCCTTTCTATTCTCATGAGTATATCTAGGATTTCCCATGGTAATTCTTAATCTCTGTTCACCTGGTCTAATCACTAAGACATCATAAGTGTAATGGATTATCAATGCAATGATGCCCTGATGCCATAAAGCTTCCTGTGGTCTAGATCATGATACAGGACTAGAGATAAGAAATATGGCTGCATTTCTGCTCATGCCAGAAGGTCTTTAGAGCAAGAAAGGTGTAGGGAGATATCAAATTGTGGGTGCTAAAGGATTTGTTGACTTGCAGTAATGATCCACCTGGCCAATAGATGCAATTTGATTTCACTACCTGATTAAGTCTGCAGCAATGTACAGTGATTTTTCTGATTCCTACATATCTTCTGCAAAGACCAAATCCATGTGTTGAATGTGGACATAGTAGGATTAGGATCACCCCATCATATCTTTCAAAATCCAAGAAGATGAGAGTTGATTGCTGTTTAGTTTTGTAGTTGGTAGGGACAATTCTACACTCTGTCACGTAGCCCTTTTCACTGTATTTTCCATGTAGTTATTAAAGTGCTGCTGCATGTTCTTTCCAGGCTGACAGTGAAGATGTGATAGAAACAGATGTGCTAAAGATCCACTTGATGCCCCATGTCAACTGAATGAGCTTGGAGATCAGTGGCAGCATCATGAGGTGCTCCAGTGCCTGGTACTCATAGCTGGCTCAGAGTGTAAAGAGAAATATAACTATTGCTTTACTATTGCCTTCCAAATAGCACTTCATAATCATGAAAACATTCTCTTTTCATATTATCTTAAATAATTAATATTTTGCACTCAATTTAGATCTACAACCAGGAATGGATTTCTGTATCTTGTTTAAGACAATACTTGTCCCATCTTGATATTTATTTGGTTCCACTTGCTGTTAAAAAAGAATACTCTTCCCCTAGACACATGGCTTTGACATCCATATAATAAGAGTGGTATCCACTATGTATACAGGTAATCTACTCTACATGCCATGGGTAGCATAGAACTTGTTTACTATACTTTAATAACTCTTGAAGTCTAGTATTAGAAGTCTAGCAAAATTATTGTCCTTTGTCTTTTGGTACTTAGCCTTTTTGTATATATTTTAGAATTCTTTTGAAAGTCACTGCGAAACATGTTGTTGAAATTTTGACATGGCTGCATCAAATCTATAGGACAACCTGTTGAGAACTGATATTTTTTTGAATACTGAAAACTCTGTGATTCATGAATGTGGCGTGTTCCACGGTTTATCTAGGTTTATCTAAGTTTTCTGCAATGTCTCCCAATATAACTATGCAATAAACTGTTTAGAATACACACATATGTTGTTGGATATATTGTTCTTAGGAACGTAGTATTTTAATTACTTATAAATTACTTATTTTAATGGTTTTGGTACTGGGGTGTTCTGCATGAGATGTCATCTGTAGTTCAGGGCATTTGAATATTTGGGCCTCAGTTGGTGAGCTTAGGTGGTGTGGTCTTGGAGGAAGTCTATCATTGTACACAGTCTTTAAAAATTTACAAACTTGCTGATTTCTGGTTTCCTTTCTCTGCTTTGTACTTGTGGTTCAAGATGTGAGTTCCCAGCTTCCTTCTTTTGCCTCCATGTCTTCATTCCACCTTCATGGACTCTAACTTCTGGAGCTGTACACCCACATAAACCATTCTTCCTGTAAGTTGCATTAATCTTGGCATTTTATCACAGCAATGGAAATGTAACCAACACAGGTACAGTGCTGAAATTCTACAAATACATTGCTCATTCTCTCCTTTCCTAGGCTGAAATAGAAATGGAATGTGGTGAGTTTTCTATATACTCAATTATGCCTTATAAAAAGGACTATATGAAGATGGAGGTTTCTGTCCCACCTGGTCCTGCAGCTTTTTAGCCCCAAAATATGGTATGAATTATTAAGCTGTTTGGTCAATGGTTTAGGCTTCTTATTGGCTAGCTCTCTCTATAATCATTAACCTGTTTCTATTAATCTATGTATTGTCATGAGGCTGTGGCTCACAGGCCATAGTGTGTCTGGAAGATTTCTCAGTGGAACAGGAAATTTTAAACTGTTTGCCTTTATTGGCAGTTTGTCAGTCATTTTTCTGTGTCCTACAGAATGTCCAGCAAACTCTTCCATGAAGCAGGAATGCTGCAGGACTGTCCCATGTTGTTTTGCCAAGTTCAGCAGTCACTTTCCTGTGAGTCCTGCATGTCCAGTTTATACAGCATACAGTCAAACAGTCCAGGTCAGAACAGTTTCTTGCCTAGAGGGCTATTTCTGCCATGTTGAAGGCAAACTCCATGATGAGTTTCTTTGTTGCCCATCTTCCTCTATGGAATAATTGGGGTTGCCAAGAGCAGTTGTGTCTCACTGTCATGAAAAGCCCTAATAAACCATTTTAAATGCTCTATTGTGTACATCTTTGAGAAGTTTGAAGAATATCTATCCATCTCAAATGCATCTCTGTATATCTAAAAAACCTGACTAGCATAAGTTTTGACTATTATAGGTGACTATTTATAATCTGTATTTTATTACACATTCCATTTTTAAAAGAGCTGTATAAACACTATACCTAAACAAGAGTAGAAATATACATATAAAAATTGACCTTATATTTTTGTCAATAAATCAAAATCCCATGCCAATGCAAAGTATATATTTCTGTATCAACTATATGCTTCTTTACAAATTTTAAATTTTCATTATTTAAATTTGTGTGCTTTCTAAGGCCTCCAGTAAACACTGGACTTAACAAAATGGTCTTAGATAGTATTATCTCTTCCATAATGTTATTTACAAGTTTCATTATGGAGTCTCTTTATCTTGTCAACAAAACTTCTTTCTCTAGTCATTATTGATATTATTTGTAAGCTAATGGATGCTATTTGCTTTTCCTGAAAACATGGAGATAATTACATGACTTTAATTTTTTTCTAAAATGTAGTAATTCACATTAATTGATTTAAAAATCATAGTTACCTCAAATTTCTTAAATAGATCCAATATGGAAAACACATTGCTTTCATTTTAATTGCAATTATTTAATTTGACATGTATATATATATCTGTTTTAATTTATAAGAGTGATGGTTTTTAGGCTCTGCTATGATCTGAAGGCTACAGATACAGAAAGTGTGCTATTGGGAAGTTAAATAAAAAACCCAAGCCATATAGTGAAAGAGTGACTCCAAATGAGATTCAATACAATTAAATTACTAAATAGCAAATGCTAATCATAGTGTTTCAGAAAATGTTATAAATAAAAACAAACTTCATGAACATCACTTAGTAAAAGTACATTTATGAGACTAAATAAGTTATAACAGCTGTAGCATGGTTGGGAGTTTTACTCTTATACATTGGTGATATTTTCCCCCTCATCTCTCAAAACCCTGAACAATCTACCCTCTGTCTTCCACTTTTGCTTATTGTCTTTTCAAATTCACACACACTCATTATTGTCAGGCAAGATAACCATTGTATAATATTCTAAAACCATTTTATTTAAGCTTCCTAAAGCTAGGCACACTCCCCTGCCTGACCTTATTAGGTTCCCTTTCCTCTGCCAGCCAGTATCCCCCTTGGACATTTGCCTGGTCCACTTCCTCCTTCCCTTCAGGAAAGCCATTTTACTAGAGAGCACTTCCTTAGCCAGAACACCTTCTCCTTTAAGAGGCCATCACATAGACCCAGAGCCAAGTACCTGTTTTCCTACTGGTCACAGCCTCTTCTCCTCTATCTGAAGAAAAATCTGACATATTAGAGACTTTTTCCTTCAAGTATTTGTTTCATGAATCGACACATAACTGAATGAATTTACAAGTGTCAGTAGTCATTTTATTTCTCAGAAATACTTGCTAATTTTTGCTCCTAACATCTATCTTACTACTACCTCTGTTGATCTAACTATGAAGAAAGAAGAACTGGATGTCTTCGTACTTATCTTCTTTTTATAGCAATCACTGCAGAAAGTGTTGATAGATTTTTTTTATCACATCTTGAGATGCATGCTCGTCACACCCAAGGTAACTTGGAGGTAATCATTTACCATATTTTAAATTTATATTGTTTGCTGTGGTGCATTAAGTTTACAGTGCTCACTTTGTATGCAATATGCTTGAAAATGAACTATTATCACAGATATTAAAGCAGCCTTGCAGCATCATCTATAATGCATGCCTCTTGTATATACTCGTCTGCATCCTTCACAGCCAGTCTATTTGTACACAGGCAATACATTTAAAACAAAAATGGCATCCTGTATAAAAATGGAGCATCCATCTACCAAAGTGATTTCTAGGGCCCAAGAAATAATTGTAATTTATGAGCTACACTTGTGATCATCATGAATGTTAAGCAGAGTACATACTCTTGGTGGCATGACTTTGATTTTTAATTATAGGTCAACTCAGCTTAATTCTATAGCACAGCAAAAAGTACAGTGAACACACCTTTGAATGTCAAACTCACTCTTACAGGGTAGGTATGCAACTCTGAGCAACTGCTTGGCTTCCTATGTCCTTTGTTTTCCTACCTTGGATCACAGAATTTCATTATTAAAAATGTATTACTATTTGTGTGTGTGTGTGTGTGTGTGTGTGTGTGTGTGTGTGTGTGTGTGTGTGATGTATGTGTATGAGTATAGGGCACATGTGTGGCATGGTGAACATGTCAAGGTCAGAGGACAACTTTTAGGAGTCAGTTCTCTCCCTCCACTGTGGGTGTCAAGGAGGACTGACCTTATAGTATCACACTTAGTCTACAATGTTGAGGTTTTGTAATATGCCAAAGCATCTCACTGTTCATCACTAGATTTTCAATCAGCTTTAAACTTGCAAAGCTGAAGGGTTCCATGTTATCATTCATTTAGGGAACCATTTTGGGGGCTGAGAACTTAGGGAGAAATTTTTCTAGTCAGAATTGTTATTTGCGATTTTCTGGTAAAAACACTGTGAGTGGAAGGAATGAGATAGACTTAAGTCATACATCTTATCTTTTGTTAAATTTTCACACCATTCTTGTTTTTAAAAGATACACCAGTGTCCTATATTCATCTATCTGGATCCTAGAGAGGTTAGTGTAAGAAAGGTTCTATTTTTACTGCCTCTTTCTGTACCTCTCAGTGCAGAATCTTAGTGTCTCTTGCATGCCATTACTCTCTATTTAGGTGTCTCCTGGACCTCTAGGAGTCTTCTCAGGAGCAGAAAAGGAAGTTAGTCAGGGTTTTATGATCCCAAGAGGAAAAGTATGTATTTCTTAGCTGACACAGGATGGTGCATTCAGAAATAACATCGGATGATACTAAGAATAGGGTGGGGATTTGTGGAAAAGAAGATGGGGGTTTAGTCTGTAGGACAGCACATTTAACTTCTATGGATGCTATGTCTGTTCTGTCTAGGAAGAACATAGGTGGGAGGAAAGCTGAAGTGAAAAACAGCATGCTATATTTAGGATAGATCCCTTGACTTACTGCCAAGGGCTCCCTTACTAGTTCAAAATCCTCCTAGGCTGTTGCTTTTTACCTAAGCGTCAGACCTCTCTTGATCTTTCATAGAATTCCTGTCAGTTAGGACCTGCTGACTGACTAGATATGCTCAGTCAGGTGACAATCAGATTCTAGATCTATATGGAAAATACCAGTAACTAGCATACTCATGAAATAATGTCCTAATCAAAATTTGTGATGCCTATCTTTAGGACTTTAAAAGTCATGCAAATACTCTACAGATTTTGACTTTTAGTTAAAGGTTAAACCTGAAGTGATTGAGGATGGGAAATGTTTTTCCTAACAAAAAACAAACAAAAATTATCCATAGTACTTCTTCCTTCACTATATGCATGTTTTATGTGCATGTTGATTGGCCCATGAACCCTAGAATTTCTCTTATCACAGAGATGATGTCATATTCTTCTTAAGTGTCCTTCTTGGGTCAGCAGGTTAGGACCACCAAACTAGTTTCAACTTATCCAACAAAATAGAACATATGCTCAGAAGAACAGAGAGAGAAATAACTGGGGACTGAATATAAAACAATGATTAGGCAAATTTCATACTGCTTTAAAGACTCAAAGATCTTATCATATGTACCAAGAGCACATTTCTTTCCCCTTAGAGGAGATGAGCAAATCCTTTCTCATGTTACATGTGTGTGGCAAGACTAGTTACTGAAGCCTGACAAAATACTTGCTTCAGCCATGATGACAAAAACAAATGCCTGCATTTGGAAAACTTCCATTAGGGAAACCAGTAGTATTAATAAATGGAACTCATTGTACTATTAAAATGTATTCAATGGGAAGTGTTTATTGTAGGA